TTAAAGAAATGCGTTTTATATCCGAAAAGAATAATATATGAAACAAAATCAAAGGTTGCTGTTTCAGCGATGCACCGAAAAAAGGGTGGCGTTCAATAACGCCCTTGGGCGTTGTTTCTCCCTTTTTTAGGAAATACTGGACATGGTTTTTTTGTCTCTTTCAAAAAAGAAATAAAGCCCGTCGAACTTCTTTTCTTTTCGTTGCGGCTCTGATTTATTTTTTAGAATATATTGCTAAACGCCCACATCTCATAAACGGTAATTTTCAGAAGTACGAAAACTGAGATATTTCAATAGCTACTGAAGCAAACTCAGTCAACAACAATCTGTAAAATGGCCACGCCCATTGCCTTCTTATTATTAAGTAAGTATGTATTTATATCACTCTAACTGCCTTATTAATTTCTACCTAACCCGGTTCCATTTCTCCTCTTCAATCTAATTAAGCATGTCATCTATTCAGGAGTAATGTAATGACAGTTTTCAGAAAGGACCATAACGTTTCCTTAATTCACAAAGACTATAACCAACACATTTTTCAAAACTGTTTTTTTACAGATTTTGGAATGATGTATAAAAATACACCTTCAATCCAAATTTTAAAGTGTTAGCACCAAAAACCTCCGTTGTTACGTGCCACTTTTTAAAAGCCGTCCTGCTTTTGATACTCTTTTTATAATGTTTTTTGTTTCTCTGGTAAATAAAAAATTTGTTGGTTAGGGCCTTTGTGCATAAAGGTATGTAGTTCGTGCTTGGGTTAGAAGTTTAATAAAATTATAGTTTAAAAAACTAAAACCTCCCTATTATAATTGCCATTCGTACTGTCATCAGGTATGTAACTTGAGAATAGGCGCATTAATATTACATAGTTACATCCCGAGCTAATAAAAGGAAGGTAATAAAAAACAATTTTTTTTATATATACTCGCGCATATCTTTTTGATTGTGATTCTTTTTGCGTTGGGTAAAATACAGACAGTGTAGGGCAGGCCCGGCCACAGGGGAGTGGGGGGTTTGAATCCCCCCTATTGGAGGGAAATATGCATAAAAATTTGCAATCATTTATGTAGTTTACGATAATAATGGTAAAAAATATTTTAATATCTCTGTAAAACCTGTTTATCGAGCTAGCTTAATGGTGACAACATCGTTTTCCCTTGCAATTAGGGGAACGAAGAGTATTGTGGGCATTTGATTTGAAATGTTCATCCATATTTACATTGCACTAATTATGTTTCGTCAAATCATCTACTTAAACATTTTATTTACATTTGAATTTGGAACATAACCTCACTTTTTGACTCCTGAAAATTTCTTCCAGTAAAATTTTTACTAGCAAGAATTTGCAGCTCTTTCGGCTTGTTACGCTCTCTAATTCGCTCTCTTGCAAATTTTTTAGATTATTGAATGCATTTCCAGTAAAACTTGCAAGTACTAGAAACTATTCGTAACAATTTTCTGATATTGAATGGACCTTTGAGTTTGAAAAGATGTTATATGTAGTATGCATTGGATTTTGATCCCTTACGCTGAAAGGATTGCGTGCACTTTAGAATTTAAGTTTTCAAGTAATATGAAACGTACGATTTATGTCAATGCACATTAAACGATTTTGTGCTAAAAATGTATTTCTTTAGACTTTGAACGCTTATTATTTATGTATTTTTTGAAACGTATAAAATTAAAAATAACACTATTGGGGCTTATTTTTATTTTCGAGGTGTCAGCTATTGGTGATAATAGGTTCATTCCATATCATCATGCAATCATAAAATTTAGATATTTTTTAGGTTTTGTTTTTAACTTTTTTCAAAGATTTGTGTAAGAAAAACTTGAATAACTGCTCCAAAACTTTACCTTTATAGACTTATGAGGTATCAGTGGAATGGTATTTTCTCACCCTTTTCATTTCTTTGCAAAAAACCTCATTCACGTCTAAATTTTTTCTTTATTCAACGCCAACACATCTTAATTCAACATGGAATGGCACTCGTTTATNACTTATTATTTATGTATTTTTTGAAACGTATAAAATTAAAAATAACACTATTGAGGCTTATTTTTATTTTCGAGGTGTCAGCTATTGGTGATAATAGGTTCATTCCATATCATCATGCAATCATAAAATTTAGATATTTTTTAGGTTTTGTTTTTAACTTTTTTCAAAGATTTGTGTAAGAAAAACTTGAATAACTGCTCCAAAACTTTACCTTTATAGACTTATGAGGTATCAGTGGAATGGTATTTTCTCACCCTTTTCATTTCTTTGCAAAAAACCTCATTCACGTCTAAATTTTTTCTTTATTCAACGCCAACACATCTTAATTCAACATGGAATGGCACTCGTTTATCTTACTTTCCTCTCTCTTACTATGAATGAGCTTATTAGCAGGAAAGGATTTTATGGACATTGCTTTTTTCTGCTTAAGTGATAAGGTATATTCGATTAAGAATGTCCAGGATTTAGCTTTCCCTGATTCCATATATACTCATTTAATGTTGCCTTTTTTTGCCTTTTTTAAGGCATTTGCCTTTTTTGCCTTTTCTACCTTTAATTGTAAGAGGCAAAGAAAAAGGCCTTATTTCTGGTAATATGAAAGTTTCAAACGTTCCATATTTAAATTGGGCGCCACTAATCCGTTTCCTGCTCTTAAATCTAAATTGGTAAGGTTTTGGCTGAGTTGTTCAAGCTTTTCTTAAACCAGTCTTCGAAAAAAGTTCAAAGACAGCATCAAAAATCTGTTTATTATGATTCCGTAGAAATTTTTTTAAAATATTTTTATGGAAACATTTTAAGCTTCGATTTAGTCATCTGAGGTAATTTTTTCAAAATATATTTAAAAAAACTGTTTTTATTAATAAAAAAAACTCAATTTTTGGAGGTATTTTTAAATCGGTCCAGCTCACGTAAATCTTAATATTTTTACGAGATATTTTGACGGCAGTCTTAAGATATAATAGGTTTTATAATTCCAGTTGAAAAGCAGTACCGATTTATTTTTTTTTGTTTGGGGAGTGATGCAGTCTACTGTACATAAGTTGACTATGATTATTCGGCCGTGCCATCATAGTAGCATAATGCCACTAAATGCCTTTTAAAGTTTTCGGGCAATAGCCTCATGCGATTATCGATTATATTTTTTATTGTTTGTGTGAAATATTTTATTTTTATCAGTATTAAACAAATATTTTGCCAGAACCTCTCCGAAAAAAGTCCTGGCTACGGCTCTGTATGTATCTAATGTATCTAATATATGTATAATAACCTTTATATCAAATTTTTATACGATTCCTGCATTGTAAAGATGATGAGTATTAGTAAAAACAAGGGATATTGCGTTTAAAAAGTCAAATATAAAAATGTGAATATCTCGAGAAAATTATCAGCTACGATTTTGATCTCGATTGATTNCAATATTTTGCGAGAACCTCTCCGAAAAAAGTCCTGGCTACGGCTCTGTATGTATCTAATGTATCTAATATATGTATAATACCTTTATATCAAATTTTTATACGATTCCTGCATTGTAAAGATGATGAGTATTAGTAAAAACAAGGGATATTGCGTTTAAAAAGTCAAATATAAAAATGTGAATATNAAATATTTTGCCAGAACCTCTCCGAAAAAAGTCCTGGCTACGGCTCTGTATGTATCTAATGTATCTAATATATGTATAATAACCTTTATATCAAATTTTTATACGATTCCTGCATTGTAAAGATGATGAGTATTAGTAAAAACAAGGGATATTGCGTTTAAAAAGTCAAATATAAAAATGTGAATATCTCGAGAAAATTATCAGCTACGATTTTGATCTCGATTGATTATGAACCTACAAATTATGTAGAAAAAGGCTGGTAAAACCGATTTTAAGCACACTTTTATAAAACGTAATACTGGTTCAAGACCACCGTGTATTAAAGTTTGAGTCTCTTTAATTTTTTCATTAAAAAAAAATCTTAAATGACTAACTAATTTATCAGAAACTATCGGGTCGAGGGAAAAGTAATGCAAACATGGTTTATTGACAATTTTGTTAGGTTTCATTTGCCACATTTCTTATTAAGATTTTTCCATTCCTGCATAAGATATACATTATTAAGTGGAACCACCTTTTTATTGCCTGAATAACGGTAAATTGGAAGTATCTTGAAAACTTATTCATAAGACAAAAAATTAACTAGATTTTCGGAATCAGCGAGTAATTCTACACAAGAATTGGATGGTGGCATCCACTGTGAATTGTTGCTGTAAACCAGTGTTATTATTAAGAAATTTAAAAAATATCAGAAACAGATTTAAGCGCTTAATGTTAAGCATGTTTTACTAATAGTTATAAATGTCTAAATAAGTACATTGGTTACATATTAGTTAATTTTACACCATTATAAGCGCCCCAATGCGTTTTTCTGGTTGGCATATAAAATCTTCTGCATATCGGGCTTGCAAAAAGCTACAAAAAGGCGGTTTTTTGATCAAAAGCCCAGATTTTAAGAGTAATTTGCAAATGCTGAGGTACAGTTTTTGTAAGGTTGACTAACAATTTATGGAACGTCTCACGAAAAATACATTTTCATTGTCACATATTGCAATATGAGGGTGTTACATAAAATGTACGTAAACAAATTAGTTTCGTAAATGACTGTACCAGCTCACCAAGTAGGTGGGCGAGGTTTTTCATATTTATTTTCGGGAGCCTTTAAAATAGATAAGTTAAATCAGGGTTTCCTCACAACTCTTTTATACGAATATTATATTAGCCGCCTTGGATTCGCACATTTCTGGACGCTTGAGTTGAGCTGTACCTCATTAATTTCGTTCGCTTCGTCACTCGCTAAGTGTTGGCGAATCGAAGGCGGATATTATAACTCAGATAACCGAATCAGATGTTTTCAGAGGGCAGCGATGGAAAAATTATTGTTGAAACATCCTCCTAGTAGGTGATCAAATTGATTGGAGCGACTTTACCCTAGCACGGAATCGTAACTTTGATTTGATTTCACTTACCTTTCTTGTCCAACTCGTCATCGGACAGTGGCTGTTCTGAAATGCGTTCAATATCGAGCAAATCCGATGAGACATCTGAGCGTTCGTCGTTGTGATCGAAGGAATTCTTATGAAGATTGAACTTGTGACATACTTCGAAGGCCTGACCGACAGTGCGCACAATCCGCATCGCCTGTGACTGAAAGATGAAAAAAGAGAGAAAAGAAAATTAAATAAATAAATAAATACAGTTTAACTGAGGAATATTCGCATGTGCAATTTTGAGGTCACTGAAATGTGTCGTGTTATAACGATTGAACTACTCTCAAGCTAATGGACACATATAATAAATATCAAAATAAAATTACACAATTCACGCTCATCTCTACCCCAAAATAATTGATGTCATTGCTTGTACTAACGATGCATCCTAATTACACTTCCTCTGCTCCAGAATATACAATTTCACTATTAGTAACTATCACAAGCCTCACCTCAAAATCCTTTGTTGAATTCTCATTATTCTCATAATAGCATGCTGTTGCATCTAACTGTGTACTTTGATTAATTTGTGCAGAATAATTGCGGTTATCAGCTAATGCCATTAAAGCTGTGTTATTGCTGCTGACACTGAAATTATCGCAGCTCGCTTCGTTCGCATTCTTATTCGTTATTACAGCATCCGCTACACCAAGTCGATTGCCTAGTTCCATTGCGGCCGCTCCAGCTGAGCTCATCGCACCATTACTGTACACTTCGCTGTTGGCGGCATCACCTTCCGCACGTTGAAGAGGCGAGCTGCGTCGTCGTATTCGCGGTTTATCTGCCACAGGCTCACGGAAGGAGAGTTTCTTGCGAGGCTTCTCGGGCCGCGGTTGATCGATGCTGGGCGTACCAGCACTGCCACCGCCACTTGTCATACTACTATTAGAGCTGCAGTTGCCTAACCGAGTGCTGTCATAGTCCGTTAATGATTTCCGCCGTTGGAGCTGCACACGCTGCTCGCCACGTTGAAATAGCTGCAGGTGTCGTCGCCGATTTTCTGGACTGTAGCGCATGGCATCGTCGTAGACACCCTCATTTCCTTTTCCACTTACATTGGCATTTTCGCTTTCGCCAGCCAATCTAATCAGTGCAGGCGAAGTGTTTTGTCGCTGCAGAATTCCACGTTTATTACTGTCCACAAGACTTATGCCATAATTGTCGATGACTGATCTTGACGACTGATAATTTCGCGTATTCGGTAAGTCATATTCAACTCCATTGTAGTCGCTTTGATTGGTTTCCAGCTGATTGTTGAGCATTTGTGCGGAGGGAGATCTGTGCGTCGGAAGTGGCGTGCCCTCCGGTGTCAATTTCTTGAATTTCAAACGCGCCCGCAGCACACTTTCACTGCGCTCATGCCGTTCTCTGCCACGCTCACAGTCACGGTCACGGTCACGTTCACGAGAACGCTCGTATTGCTGATACTGTTCCTTGTCACTCATTGCCGAATGGTTGGCGGATAATTTGCGTTTAGTTTTGCTCATTTCTCGTTTAACCGGAAGCTCTTTCTTTATCAGATACACAATATCCTCGTCGTTGAACAGAATGTGTCGTGATGACCCAGCAAAACCGCTGCTCGAAGACATACACTTGAGATGCTCATCGCTGTCCTGATTTTGACCTGGTTTCTCCGTTTGAAGGCGACCACCCTCACCTTCGTCGGTATCATCCACAAATCTGTAATCTTCGGGTTTTCCTTCGCTCATTTCATCGTTCATGGCCTGGCGGTAGGCTTCCTTGGCTCGTGTTATATTTTCAATGAAGGTATCGTCCATAAAATGACCGTGTCCATTCTTCTGCTTCTCTGCGCTCAGTTCATTGTCTACCGTGTTGATGAGCTCATGTATGTCTAAGCTCTTGTTGCGCGATACCACCTTCTTGGGCTTAGGGCGCTGGTTGCACTTCTTCAGTGCCAACTCTTGTTGGCTGTTGTTGGATTTATCCTTATTTAGCTTGTCGCCGCCAAGTATGTCACGTATAAGTCCCCCACCGCTGCGGAAAATATTGCGATGGTAGTGTATGCTAGTGTTCTTATCCGCAGAATTTGTAGATGAGGTGTTCGAATTTGAGTTTGTATTGGTGCTAACGTTGCTATTTGATGGTTGCTGCTTAGTCTCACACTTTTGCTGTTGTTGTTGTGCTTGTGTTTTGTCAGTAGAAGTTTTTTTGCTGCGTCCCCAGGGAAGAAAATCAAACGCCTTAGTGATGGGACTTCGCGCACAAACTGACGCCTCGGTACCACTGCGATTTCGTAAGACTCCACGCTTCAATGACAATGTACCCGAAGATTGTCCTGTCAGGTTGGGGCCGCCTATTGACATCGGATTGCTATTGGTATCGTGCTTCATCATTTCCCGCTCAGTAGTGACCGCCAGTTCAAAGCACTAAATTTTTTTTGACAATTCTTCGCGCACACGTCCGTGTTAACTCTGGTGTTTATTCGCAGTTCGCCCAGTGGTATTCAGTGTTAGTTACTGTTTACGCTTACTTGATTGTCGAATTGTCATAAACCCACAGTTTGAGTTTGTCAAGAATTGTTTTTTCCTACGTGTGGCACCTGTTGTGAGGTAAACTGCGTTTGCTACTGAAGGTCACAGAATTGGCAAAACTTTCGTAAGTGCCACTCTCACATACACACACCCTTTCATTTGCAAGTACAATACAAATATTTAACCTTGTTCAATGGCGTGTCGGTGAAAACGCAGTGTTTTTATTCAAGTTTTATTTGCTGTTAAGTTTTATTTTTTTCTTACGTTTCTATGTTATTCCGCGCGGTTATGTGTTCGAAATTTATTTTGAATTTTTGTTTCTGCGAACCATCGCTTTATTTTTTGTTGTGAAAATATTTCAAATATGTATTTGCAAGTCAGCGCAGTTTTTGGGAAAGAATATATACATACATATTTTAACGTGGTGCAAAGTTATGCGGTAACATACAAAAAAAAAATACTCCGACGAATTCATAACCTCCTCCCTTTTGTGAAGTCGGTTAAAAACAGTAAACGTGAAAGCAAAGAACATACGTCTAAAAAATTTTTCCCGAGATAGGACTTGGGGCACCTTCCAAAATTTTTCTTCTTGCCAAAAGAGGTGTTGGTACCAAACCCTACGTTTCTTAATATAAATTCAGAGGATGCTCATATTTTGCTCTAGAAGTATTGGTGTACATATATTAATCAAACAATTGGTTAAGTAACCTAAGAACATTTCAAATTTAAATTATCTATTAAAATATCACAAGCTTCAGTTGGTATGGCAACAGTAGCTTTTTATAAAAATCGCCAATATTTTTACCACTTTCACTGCGATCCAATAGCGCATTTCAAGGTCATTGAACACCCTGCATTGGTTGCAGTAGAAAATTGAAAGTTTGTATAGTTATTGCAAATAACGAAAGCAAAAACTAACGGGGTGCCTGCCCCGTTTTTTAGGTTGAAATTTTTTCCCCCATACAAAAATTGGACCACTCTAATGTACATTCTAAGTAGTTTTTGGTATTGGTTAATTTTTCCGTTAGGGTGGGAAGATATTTATGGGAACGGCGATGATGAGATGAGGACGGAAAATTATACTAAAGATGCCACAACACCGAAACCGATTTGTTTCCAAATCAAACTTGAAGGGGGATGACGGAAATCGTATGGAAAGGCGATTTTTTATATTAAATAATTATTGCCGCATTGTCATAATACTGAGCATGGTTAAATTAGGAATTCGCTTATATTATTTATGTGTTTTAATCTATTTAAAAAATCATTTACAGTCATATAGGAAATTGCCTTATTTTACCGCCTTTACTTTTTTAAAGTTACAATATATGTCCAAGCTCTGTGGAGCTGCCGATACAAACATATATTCAGGCTTATAAACCTGTAATTATACATTTTTCCACCTTTAATTTAAATTAGAATGCACCAACGTNGTGGAGCTGCCGATACAAACATATATTCAGGCTTATAAACCTGTAATTATACATTTTTCCACCTTTAATTTAAATTAGAATGCACCAACGTATTAAAAGTAGTAAATAATTAATACCTTTTCTACTACTTTAAAATGCGTGACCGGAATAGACCTGCCGAAAAAGTGAGGTTAAGTGACTGACAACACCTTGTTATTATTTCACCATGGAAATTTACAAAATATTGTTATTACTGTTCACTACGTTTGAAAAAAAATTATCTCTGGTTACGGTTCAAACATCGGCCATGCGCATGTTTATATGTATAAATACATACTACATTATTTTGTTGCTATCCATATGAAGAAAAAGTTTCGATGAAAAAACTATCCTATCTTTTAGGTTGGAACCAACAATACACACCCACAAAATTTCATTAAAATCGGTTAAGCGGTTTCGTAGATTAGCGTAAACGAACACATTGACACGGGACTTTTATATATTAAGACTAACTTCATCCCACCCAAAATTTTAATACTTTATTCAAATACTTGGTACAAAGTATTCACCACAATTCACATTCACATTTGCTTTTGTTGTCGTCAGAAAGCATATCCCTCTATTGCCGTCTTAAATAACCTAACGAAAGCGTTATGTCCGTGAAGAAGTTCTTGCGGAATCTGTATATAAAAGGTAGTGGCAATTTCAAAATGAGAGAGCATTGTTGGTCCACAGAAATTCAATATACATAAACTTATTTCAAACGAAATACCATAAATGGCTTACAATTGAAATTTGTAGGCATTCATCAAGAATTGTCTTTATTTTGTTTAGTCGCCGTAAAGCAAGGACCGCAATGGTTATAACCCGAACACAATGAAAACGACGAGCTACGGACCACAGCTGTCAAATTATTTTTCCACGTATTCTTATATAGATAATTATTTTGGCGACGACAGGGCTACGCGACGACTGTGGTTGTGGCCAGATTAGAGCTATTTCTATTTTTTCATATTCAAATTTCATTTCAAATTCATACAAATTTTTAGCAATAACTCGACTCCAGAGCTACCTGGCGAGCCATTTTTTTCGCAGAAATATTTACCTTCACGTTACAAATACATATTTTGAGTATTAGCCAGATCAGATCATAAATACGATTTTTAGTAATTTGGCTCCAGCGCCACTTGGCGTTTTAAGTTGTGAACCTAAACCAGGACACAAACTATATGTGTATTTATAGATAGTATATTTAGAAGGCGCCACGCCCTCTTTACCAATAGCCCGACTTTTTTCTAAGAGTATGGGATTGATTTGAACACCTTCATACCAAGCTCCAGGACTCTACCACAAATGCTTCCAGAAATATGCGCTGGCTATAACCAAAAAAGCCTATTTCAAAAAATTCGATGCAGCCGTTCGCGAGATCACTTCTTACAAAAGTGGCACTTCTCTTAATATAATTGGTACAGATAATAAATATCGATAAATAGCCAATACCCGCTTGCTTTGCAGCACCTTAAAACATTTCGAACTGTAAAACAATCATTCTATATAATAGATCGGTCCCCGGTTCACCTATAAGAAAAAAATATCCTACATGTTAATCCAGGCAGTAAGCTGCTTACGCGCCAAATTTCAAACAAAACGGAACATTTTAGAAGCAAAAATGGATCCTGTTAATCTAGGAAAAGGCTACCTACGTACCAAATTTCAAGAAAATCGGACGATAAATAAAACTTTTTCGAATAGATCGGTCTCTGGTCCACTCCACGGAAAAAACAAACATTATGCTAATCTAAGCAAAAAGCTACCTAGGTACTAAATTTTAAGCAAATCGGACCATAAATACGATTGTTTCGAACAGATCGGTTCCTGGTCCACTTCCCGTAAAAAAGGATCCTATATGCTAATCTAAGCAAAAAGCTACCTACGTACCAAGGCCGTATTTAGGGGCCTTAGTTATATAGATAATTAGATACCATTCGGTAAAAATTTCGCTTGCAGTAATTTCTACGTGGTAAGTGCTTCTCCATTATTTGGTTTCGTAGGGATTCGGATAGATTCCTCATTGAAGTAGTAATGAAAATTCGCTTAAATGTCTTTTTCGGTTAAGTGCACAAGTTTTTCGTGCAAAGAAGGATGTGCAGCTAAGCATAATATACTATATAATGTTCATGTCCAATTAAAGATACAAAAAATATATTATCTTCTTTTTATTTGGCACTACAACCGTTTGTCGGTTTGGGCCGAGACCAAAAAGCTTCTCCAGTTGCTTCTCTCCTGTGCAAATTTGCACTTGGTTCTTCCATTGCGTTCGTAGGCGCCCTTGCTTTCGTTGTCCACCCATGGGTGCGGAGTCCAAGGATCTTTTCACCGGAGCGTCGTCATCCATGCGTACAACATATCCAAGCCAGCACAGTCGCTGTATTTTTATGCGCTTAATTATGTCCATGTCGTAAAAAAATTCATACAGTTCGTCATTCCATCTTCTCCGATACCCGTCGTTCACGAAAACAGGGCCGTAGATCTTGCGTAGAATAGTCCTCTCGAAAGCCCCCAAAGCCTTCTCATCTTTGTTTGACATCGTCCAAGTTTCTGCGCCATATAAAAGGACGGGCATGATGAGAGATTTGTAGAGCGTGATTTTCGTTCGTCGAGAGAGGGCTCTGCTTTTCAATTGCCTACCGAGCCCAAAGTAGCACCTGTTGGCAAGAGTTATACTTTGCTTGATCTCCAGGCTAACGTTGTTGGTGGTGTTTATGCAGGATCCTAGGTAGACAAAGTCCTTCACTACTTCAAAGTTATATCTGCCAACAGTGACGTGAGTCCCGAAACGAGTGGAGTGCTGCGGTTACATCCCTTTACTTCAGACCTACGATATCGATATCATCTACATACGCCAGCAGCATCGTTCTTTTGCCATATATGGTACCGCTATTTTTCAGATTGGCAGCTTGGCAGCCATACGCACAGTGGTCAAAAAATTATAGCCGAACCACTTTTTGCCAAGTTTTAACGTATTATTTTTGTTGTTATTGAACTTTTGTTATATTTTTTATAAACATAGAGTTCATTCTTTAACAAAACCCGTGTAAATCCAAGTTTCCGAATTTGTGCAATATTAAAAAAAAAAATCAACAAATATTCGTACAAATTTCGAACCTTTTAAAAATTCTAAATAATTAATCGAAATTCTTAGCCATTTTAAACTTGTACTTTATTCTACTAGAACTCAATGGGCTACAAAACTGTATACTCAGAATTTAGTTAAAAACCTCGAAATTTTTACGAAAATTTGTTGATTTTTTTTTATTGCATAAATTTTTAAGGCAGCGTCACTCGATTGGTACATTTGAACAGATTTGTACATTTTTATATTGAGCTATTTGTAAAAAAGGGGAATTTTTTTTGTAGTCAAAAGATTGGTGCCAATACTGCCTTAGCTCAGTGGAATAAGAAGAAAAAAAAAATATAAAATTTCATATTTTCTTCTAAACAAAATTTGCTTATTTATAGTATATTCGCAATGAAATGAAATAAAATAAGATATAATACTTTTTTAAGAAAACAAAATGTGTATACCGAGAAACAATAAAAAACATTCAACTACATTATTAGGCAAAGAATTGTTAAAGAAGTGACATTGTTTCACCTAAGGCAGTCAATATGGCGGAATTAGAGCGAGAAGCTGCTAACATCCAACACCTTATTGCATCATGAAGTTTAATATGATTTTTATATTTTTAAGACAAATAAAGAGACACGTAATTTTTTGTTATGCAAAAAAAATCGCTGAGTTACTCTCATGCTTAGATTCTCATTCCAAACATTAAAAACACTTGAATTCTAATTTTTAGTTCCAAAACTTTGCTTTCGTCTGATTTACGTCGATAAGTATAAGAAATACGAATATACAATAATTTCTTGTTATTTTACATTTATATGTTATTGTTTATCACAAATCTTAATAAAAAAGACTCTGATATCCAGCAAAAACTTTTCTAATCGTAATTCAAAGTAAAATTATAAAATAATATTTAAATTAATGATTTTTCCAGTAAAAATTTAATAATTGCTCTAGTTTTTATAAAAG